GCTGGCGGCGACGTCGGGTGTGGGCGCCCGCCCGGGGCTCGCCAGGGTCTGCACCCCACTGAAGCAGCTGTAGATGCCCTGTGGAGAGAAGCAGGGGGGGGGCCCCACCATCAGCCGGGTCACTGGGGTCCTACATCCATGAACCCAGCCTGCCGAGCTGAGGCTGAGATGTCCTGACGGCACTGATGTCCCCTCCGCAGCGTTGCCAGCACTGCCAGGGTGGGTGACACCATCCTCCATCGGCCCTTTCCCCAGGAATGCTAATGCAGACGCGGGGTCACTCCCAGGGCTGAGCTTTTTCACCAAAACCTGGCTTTTCTCCCCCACCAAGAGCTCACGTCAGCACAAACATCGCCAGTCCCTCCCATGTGGATCGAAGGGACAACGCCCACCAAGCCACGCCCAAGCCCATGACACCGTGGGAGGACATTTGGGCCACTCGAGAGCCCCCAGCAGCGTCACTCACCCTGCTGATGGCCAGGAGGAAGTCAAGCTTGTGGGACTTGGGGACAGAGTGACGCAACTTCCAGTAGACGAGGTGCTCCCAGGCGAAGACCAGCAGGCTCAGCCCCATGGCCACCAGCAGCATGTAGAAAACTCCGGCCATGTTGTCGATGTCCAGCTTGCTGCTCATCACCTCGTTCTTCTCATTCTGGCAGATCCCTGATAGCCAAACCGTTTCCAGCTTCTGGGTCTCTCCTGGGGCCGGACATGCACAGTGGTGTGGGGCATGAAAATGCCCTCCCCGGGCATCATCTCCCCAAGCACAGACCCTGCCCATCCCCACCCCATCGTGACTGGAGGAAGAGAAAGCTCCCCCCCAAGCCCATGGAGCTAGTTATCACCTAGTCCTTGCTGCTGCCCTTGGCCTGAGCATCTCACGAGTCACTTGTCCTTCTCCAGGCCCCTCTCCTGTCTCTGTCCCCCACCCACAGGCCAGCCAGCCGTGCTCACTGTCCCCTTCCCAGGCTTCTCCTCCTGACCCTCAGATTTTGTGCGTGGCCATCTCCAGGATTTTACAGCCTGCAGGAAAAGAAGTGACCCCGGAGGGAATGACACCCCTGCCAGTGCCCAGCTGGAGAGATGCTGCTGGATTCAATCCCCCCCTGAAAGGAGCTGGTGGAGAAGCCCCTCAGTGGCACCCTTCAAGGAGCTACGGAGGCTGCACAGGGCCTGGGGACCAAAGCCCTGATCCCTGGGGTAATTTGCAGGGAGGTGAGGTGAGGATGGGGACAGGGCTAATGAGAAGCTCTCCTGGGCACCCACCGTCTCCCAGGAACTGGAGCAGGGCCAGGTCGATGGCCCGCTTCCAACGCGAGTCCTTCTGCAGGGCGATGCCGTAGCCCGTGGTGGCGAACACCTTCCCGCTGCCGATGGTCACCAGCTTGCAGCCCTCGTCCTTGCCCGCCATGTAGTTGAGCACCGCTGCGTCGTAGATGAAGGCATCCAGCTTCCTACTCCACCGATGGGAGGGAGGGTGAGGGGGGGGTGTATGTGTGTGCCGGCAGCCCTTTCTTAGGGGGCTGTACCTCTTTTGGGGCAGCTCTACCCCTTTTGGATAACTGTAGCATATCTCGAGGGGGTTGTGTCCTCTTTGTGGGGGTTCTCTGCCCCATCTTGGAGAGCTATAACCCCACTTGGGGGGAAAGTACCCAACCCGGGGGGCTGCATCCCTTTTGCAGGGTGCTGTATGAAGCTGTACCCCATCTGCAGGGGGTCGTACCTTGTTTGGGGGGGGCGTATCTCATGTAGAGAAGCTGCACAGAGCCATACCTCATCTGGGAGAGCTATACCCAGCCTGGGGAGCCCAAATCTCACTTGGAGGGGGCTGTACCCCAGTTGAGGAAGCCCTACTGGGTGGCACTGTGCTCCATCCCAGGGAGCCATAGTTCATTTGGGGGTCCTGTATCCCACTTGGAGGAGCTGTACCCCATCTCTGGAAGCCGTACCCTATCCGGGGGAGCTGTACCGCATTTGGGGGAGCCATACCCCATTTTGAGGCTGGTGAGGGCATCCTCCACAGAGCGCTGGTTGTACTTCACCATGTGGGTGTGCATGTCGGGGTAGTTGCTGCGGATGTTCCTCTCGGTGCTGCCATTGGGGACGGTGCCGAAGCGGAAGGGGGGGTACTGCTCCTGTGGCTTCTGGAACTGCAAGGGGGATCCCCAGGGAGGGGCATCATGTGGTGTCCATGTCCCTGCCACGTCCCCTGCTGTGTCCCCAGCATGTCCCCCCTCCCCACAGCCAGCCCTCCATTCACCCACCCATGCCCAGCTGGCTGGCAGTGACGTGCAGCCTTCCCCAAGTTCTCCCCACCCAAAAACTCCATTATTTTTTAGGGTTCCCAGCCCAATCATCAGCCCCACCTTCCTGTCGCTCAGCCCCGACACGGTGTCAATGTACTGCTCCTGAATCATGAAGGCAGCCAGGTTGGCAGTGTAGCTGGCGAGGAAGATGACGGCGAAGAAGGCCCAGATGAGCACCATGATCTTGCTGGTTGTGCCCTTGGGGTTCTCGATGGGCACCGAGTTGTTGAAGACCAGAGCCCACAGCAGCCACACTGACTTGCCAATGGTGAAGGAGGGTCCTCCTGGCCCTGCAGGGACAGGGGACAGAGGGGACAGCCATCAGCCTGGCCGGGGATGTGTCCCCCCTGCCCAGCTCCTGCCTCCCCCAACTCACTCTTGCCGCTGGTGAGGTTCTGGTTGTAGCCAACGGGGCTGAAATACTCGAACACGAAGACGGTGACAGCCACCACGGTGAGGCACATCACGAACATCATGACCCATACAGCCGGGCTGTAAGGCTCTGCAAGGCAAGTGGGACTCCGTCAGCCCCCTGGGACACCCCACTGCCCCCAGGAGACCCCCAGGAGCCCTCCCTGATATACAGGGCTCATCCTCCTGAATACTGCCCCTCGGAGAGGAGACCACGGCCGATCAGATCTACAGGGACTCAGGAGGGAAGGGGGATGCCGAGAAAGGAGGGGATGCAGCCATGCTTCCCTGCCTAAACAAGATCGGTCTTTCATCGACAGGGAGATGCTGCCCATCTCCAGGGTCATTGGCAGGAGGGTTTCCCATGGGATCACGGATTGTCTCCCCTGATGGCTCTGGCCATGGGATCATGCCTGCACCAGGCATAGGACCAGGCCCTCCGGCCCCATTCAGCCCCTGGCAGAGCCCCCCAGGAGTAGGAGGTGGGCAGTGAGCCCCCATCTGCCCGGGATGAGGCGGGAGCAGTGGGGATGCATCCAAGCCCTCAACGTGTGGCTGCTGAGGTCCATTTGTCAGCGTGTCCTTCGCTGTCAGGGCAGAGAGGCCTCCCCTGATGGGGATGTGGCT